CTCTGAAGAGATAGACCGTATATCACTTTCAGCAAACTATATGCCAATCCAGCAGTGGTTTGAAATAAAATAATGTTCTGAATTTGTCTTGCTTGTCTCGGGCCTCGAACTGAACTCAACTGAGCGGCTCTGACGTCAGTTACAAAGCTAGAGATTTTAATTGTATCTAAATAAAGTGAGAGATTTGAGAAGATAATGCTTTATTATAATTTCTTTACCTGTATTTTATATACTTTGGTTTCTAATTCGAATTTTATATTATTATTTTGGGATAAGCATTGTTTTTCCTATTTAACCCTACATAAAACTATCCCTCGCCGTTTGGTAATATAATATGCAGTATACTGGTCATTTACCTATTATTCGGGTTGGGATAAAATAAAGTATCTAATGAATAAACTTTATTAATCTGTTGACAATGATTTTAATAAGTTGCTTAAATATACCAGTAATGTAAACGCTACACGAAACTGACACACACGCATGGTAAATTCTACAGTTAACCTTAGTATGTTATACTCTGTGGTCAGCCAAGCACATACAATCTGATTTCTTTATGGTGCTCTGTCTTATATACTTATCACCATACACTTGGATTATTTTAGGCACTTTTAATAAAGGCCGAGTCGAACCGTATGTTTCTGTCAGGAGTTTTTCGGATGGTATTATTACGCATATAAAAAGGTAAGTAGATAAATAAGATGGCTTATGTTAGGATACATATATATATATAAATGGAACTATATGCTGGAATTAAATTTCAAAACATTTTGACAGCCAATTACAGATACTAAATCTCGGAGGGGGGGATTGTATAGAGGCGTTACCAGCAACGATGCTGTTGCTGCCTTTGAAGTACATAAAAACTGAAGAACAACTTATTGGAATGTGTACTATGGGAGTTATCTCTATCAGTTAAAGTACCAGTAAACATGAGCTTGCTCCAATACAGTATAGAATAGGTATATGGAACGCACTATACAACCTTTGTTTCAGCCATGAAAAATGTGTTATTAAGTAAACATTCTGACGCAGTAAAATAAATCATTCTGTAATTAATTTTTAAGATCATAAATGTTACATATTAATTTGCACATTTTGGTAATAAATGCACAAATAATTATCTTGATTTCTTATCATCTAAGAACATAATTATCTGTGAAATAGTTTAGGTAATTATCTATAATTAAAATTGATGTTGATACGACAGATAATAAGCGAGATATAGGTAATTATATAACACCACGGGTTTCTGCGTGTATCAGAAAATAAATCTGGCACTGATGAGCTATTTATTTATAAACGTGGCAGTGAAACAGCTAAGAACAAATATTTTGCCAGACATAAAATATGTTGCTTGAGTTACACAGATTATTAAGACGGTAGGTACTATTGTTTTCATAAGTTTAATTTTGCAGTAAAACCTGTTTATATATATCTACATATAATGTGACTAAACTTATATGAAACAGTTAGAGATTTTAACATTATTTTACAGAGTTTATTCTACTTACTCTACATTTCTATGGAGGCGGAATTTTTCCCCCCTGGAGAGTTTGTTTGTTTGTTTTTGTTTTTGAATTT